CAAAACTCAATAGCGGCCTTCTTATGCAGCGTAGTTAATGCAGCTGGGCAGACTCTGTCGGGGTCGTATCTACCGGCTGTTTATATCAACGATATGCATGTGCGCGAGGAGCGACGGAACGGTGGAGGTGAAGCGGTAAACGTTAAACCCGTCGTGTTACAATGCGCCCGTAACGTCGAGATTTACATACGCTGGTATAAAAAGTCCGACAAGCCCTTTATCGCTTCTCGCGGGAAATTCGAGTTGGTAATTACGATGTTCAAAGTTTAACTCTCACACGGCACGGCGGCCATTACGAGCATCACGTCATAAGAATAACGGCATATGTGCCTCTCGGTAATCGATCGGAACGTATAAACAGGTTTTTATTTAAGCGGCATCGAGTGAACGGCCCACGATATGATTGTAACACAATTATGAGAAATTCACGACACTTCGTAAAATTGTATCGCCTACGAGAGTGAAGAGTTGTGCCGAAGAAAGTTATTTCTAAACTTGGCGACCTAAAAATACGGGATATCGGAAAAAATTTTAATATAATTACATGAGCTGTTTAAAATTTCAAAGGGCTGTAACGCGACTTATATTAAAACAAGATTAATATAGCGGGATTAATATAAAAAATTGTTTAATGAAATAACCGACGAGAGGCTATTTATAACAGGCGAGATGAGAACAGGCGCAACATGCACGATTATTTCATCGGCATATTTTCAGTCATCAACGCACCGTGTCGTTGAAATAATTGTATATATCCCGCTTCTCGGGATACGATTGGGACAAAAAGTGCGTTTCTGAAAGTTTGAGTGCAATTTGCAGCACAAGTTAGTTGTATAATTATTGTAATAATTATAACAAAATTCCACTGTTACGAGAGTGAAAAGTTATATCGAACGAAAGTTAAACCTAAACATGGCGATTCGTTAAACATAGACGAGAGTTATGATTGCAACATAATTATATGAGAAATTTAATAAACTTAATTTCGAAAAATATATAATTGCGGGAGCGAAAGTTACACTGAACAAAAATTAATTCTATAGTGGATGGATTATAAATATGGAATATCATGAGAAAATTTAAATATAATTATACAAGACGTTTAAAACTGCAAAAGACTGTAATTTCGCAAATTACGTCAAAACATAATTAATATCGCATGCAAAAAATTATTAATAAAATAAGGCATCGGAAAATGATGAGACAAGGTGAATCATAGTTGCACATAAAAAATAAATATATACGCTTCTCGAGAATTAATCGGAATAAAAAATGGATTTCAAAGGTTCAAAGAGCCTCAAGTAAATGACTATAATTGTTAACACAACATAATTGTACAACAAATTTAGCGAGCAGCGCTTCGATAAACTACATTGTTACGAAAGTGAAAAAAAATTATATCGAGCAGGAATAAATCCTACTAACTTGACGATTGTGAATACAAACTATCGCGAGAAAGCTTGAATATAATTGTACAAGACGTTTAAAATTGCATAGGGTTGTAATTAGATTAATACATTGCGAAGCAAAAAACTATCTGATGAAATAACGTCGCTGGCAAAGTTATTTATAACGGGCGAGGCGAGAGGTATCAACACGCGCGATCACTTCGCAGGCGAAGTCATAATCGCAAATAATTAGCGCGAGAGAGCTTATGCGCGCGCGCTCGCACGGCCTGCTCTTTCTCTCTCTCTCTCTCATTCTCTCACTCTCTCTCTCTCTCTCTCTCCGCTCGTCGCACAGATCGTATCCTATCGGCTTATTAAGTTGCCACCGCCGAGCATACTGCACGCTGGTGGCGTACTATAATTTGCAGGGTTATACCGTACTTTAAAGGCGTACTAAAGCCTCCTTTCTCTTCCCTTCCTCCCCCTCGATCCCATCCCATCCGACACCGCAAAGCGAGTGGATAAGTAAGAGGCTACCAAGCGGGAGAACATCCGAAACTGTCTCCCTCCCTTGTTCTCTGCTTCTCTCTCAATAAACTTCTCATTCTCTCTCGCGTCCCTCCCCTTTATTCCCTCTATCTATCTCCCGTGGAGATAGAGAGATAAATTGTTTGGCGTGGGCTCGCCGCTCAAAAGTTTCGCGATATTTCCACTGTTAGTTAAAATTAGTGGAGTTCCCGAAGGCAATTCTGATAACGCTATCTACCGTCCATGATTCTCCCATCCGCCCTTCGCGTCTCCTTGCCCTTTTGGTACCTTTTCGATCCATCTCTTCCCCCCTTCGCGTCCTACATCACTACGCTCGAGTCGCTACACGAGAATCTCACGAGAAATGCAATAAACTTCCGAGATGTATCCGGCTTTGAAATAGATGGTTCTTCAGTGAAAAGTTTAAATCGTATTTAGGCCTATTTAAGGATACTCCGCGTCGATCAAAGGGATGCACTTCACCCATCCATTAAGCGAACGTCACGGGACAGAATCGCATCTCGAGCAACGCCAGCTCCGGAGAATGGGGGCGGCGCTTATCGGGGTCCGGCGTCATCGGTGCGACAATTAGCGAAGTTTAATCGCCACTCGGTCAGCCGTAATTAAGGGTCTTCGCTTCTCGACCGAACGCGACAAAAACGGGGAATGCGCGAATTAAAGCTGAAACCGAGGCGCAAAAACTGTGCGCAGATGTATTTGCCCGGTGACATAGCTCTACGTCACATACCGTAATTAAATCAGGAGTAATTCTCGATTTAATAAAGAGAAATCGCGCTATTTCGCGAAAATATTAAAAAAGACGGGAGACGTAAATCTCACGTTAAGTGAGCCTTATGAAAATACGCGGCGGATGAATATCTATGAGAATTCATCTTAAAATATTCATCTAGAAGATCGTCAATTAGGGACTATACGATCGGGCTTGGGAAATATCTCTCCCAGCGCCGCGTTATTTGGCCGAAGAAAGCGCGCGCGCGGGAACACAATCTCTTCTTTTAATAAGACACTCGGTAATTTTAATCTCTCAGTCTCCTCCATTCTCTCTCGCTTAATAGAATTTGTAACTCAGGGATTATGCGCAGATATACGGGGTGTCTGCGCTCGCGTGCGCTTCCGCGTTGGAACCGAAAGTCGGCGGACTCTGTAATCTAACAGCGTTCATTTAACGAAAATCATAACTTTTGTTTCCGGGCTACGCAGCGCGATACACATATTCGATTATTTTATGTCGAATTAAATTGTTTGACTTTGCCGATAATAATATCTATCTCCGACAGCCTCCTTTTCGGCAATTTTATGACGGTGTTTATAGAATAAACTAAATTTGATAATATTTACTGCCGAAATTTTGTTATTAAATTATCGAAAAAGCACAGTGCGTTGAAACATTTGAGTGTTATTAATAATTTACATCTGCCAATTTCACGCATTCGCGCAATAAAATGGCAATAAAATTAATTGCACGCGAATTAAATGCGACGCGCGCGACTGCTCAAAAGCGCGAGCTCAAAAGCTGAAACTGAACGACACGAAAAGATAGCGGGCATAAATAAACTTCGATTTCGCGGGCCATTAAATTGTTCGTCAATTCTGGGAGAAAGGCGCCAGGCTAAGTGCAAATGGTGCCGGGGTTCCGATTAAACTTCGTTAATTATCGCGACGATGACGCTTATCTACGAGACACGAACGAAACATGCCGGCATCGCCGTCGTCGTATTTAACCCGACAACGTCCTTAATAGACAAAAAAGGAGCAGCAACCACCGCATCAGTTGGGCCGACAAAAAGACTCTATTAAGAGGCCATGCGCTCTGGTGCGACTCTGATCTTTCTTATTCAATTTTATGGTCGAATGAACAATCCTTGACGCGGGATGTTTCGTGTCACGCGCTCGGTAGAGCGTTCTCTCGACAAGTACCGGCCATATACTCGTGAAAATTTCACCCGGGATATATTTATCAAGTTATTTGACAGCTCAATTAAATAACAAAAGATTAGTCATAATTATTATTATTGTCACTTGCGCGATATAAAAGTTTTTGCAAGTTCCAAATGAGAGCAATGTAACAATTTAAACCGCGATGTATTTGTCAAGTTATCTGACAGCTCAATTAAATAACAACAGATTACTCATAATTATTATCATTGTCACTTGCGCGATATAAAGGTTTTTGTAAGTTTCAAATTAGAACTATATGAAAATTTTAATCGAGGTATATTTGTTAATCTACTTGGCAACTCGACTAAATGACAAAAGATTATTCATAATTATGCATTATCATTATTATTATTTTCGTTGTATAAAAGTCTTTGTAAATTTCAAATCGAAACGATGTGAAAATTTTATTTAAAGTGCATTTGTCAAGCTATTTGACAGCGTATAAACAGAAAGTTATTCATTATTATTATCGTTATTAATATTCATTCTAAAAAGTTTATAAAGTTTCAAATTAAACCTACATGAATTTAAACCGAGGTATATATATTTATTAATATATATTTGATAACTAATTTAATAACTATATTTGATAACTAAATAACAAAATATTACGTATAATTATCGCTATTAACAATTTTGCGATACAAGACGTCTTTAAACGCTTCGGATTAAAACTTCCTAAAATTTTGCTTCGCTGCATGCTACGCATTCGCAAATACATTTGCGAGTGCATTTACTTATGTATCAAACGATGTCACAAAGCGCGCGAATGTCTGTACACCTCGCAAGTTCAACTCACGAGCTTTTTGCCATTCCTCGCAGCTTTTCGCGAATGAGCGAATCGCGAGTAATGCGATTTGTGCGTTCATGCGATTTCTCGCGCACTGCGCGTTGAATGCGTGTGCGCGAACTGTTGACGCGACGCAAATTTTCGCCGTAGCGATAATTAATTATAATAATCGGTGCGCTGGGAGTTGGCGAAGACCGAAGAACAATAGCAATTTCGCCGAGTTCCGACACGGCAAAGTCTTGCTAGTTTACCGAGGTATCTAGCTTCTCGCCGAGAGCTAGCTAGGAATTTGAATTTCGAGTTGAAAGGACTTGAAACAAGAGCGAGATCCTTACCTGTATAAGACTGACTGGGGTCTTTATCTCCTCGCTGGCCAATCTGCAACAATAAAGAGAGAACAATGAAGAGAGAATTAGAATACTACGGTACATTTCGTTTACGTTATGAGAATAAGTCGAGAAATTTCCGGGAAGTCGTTATTAAAAAATAAATATTCTGTTCATTGTAGAAAAACATTTAACTACATTTTTACATACTTGAGTTTTTTTTCTATTTAACTCCTCGCCAAAGTTCACCCAGCCCAAACCCAAGTTTTTTATTGTATTTGTTTTTTTATGTATAAAATATTATAACTCAAATATATATACTAGAAAAATATAAACTAGAAAAATAAAATATCACCTTTATTCGTATTTTAACTATTACTCTATATGTATATGTATATGTATATCCAATGTGTAACATCCAACAAATAGGACATTGCCGGCCACAGGGTTAATGGCTCGAATGCATGGTAATCTGATAGCGCGAGATCTGAACTATATAGAGAATATGGTAACACGTTTTTTTTTTAAACTGCACTATACGTTTTTGTAGATAATCAGATAATCTAAAAAAATTCTTTTTTAACTTGAAAAGCCGTCGAATCGCTGGAAAAATGTTGAAAAACGTGATAATTAAATATAAAAATAGCTGAGATTATTTGAATTTTTTGTAATAAATACTTTTGGCGACAGCTTTGCAGAAACTTTGTGGCTCGTATTATCTCGATATACGCATTGCCGCAAAGATTCGAAAATATACGTGCCTACGACGTTATTACCGCAACAGTTTAGATCGCTGCTCCCGCGGCGAAGTATCGAGCTCGCTATAAACTTGCTACTCGGATAACACAATTTTACGTTGTCACAATATTTGCGAAACATTGACGCTACGCCGTTCCTTTACTCCTTTACGAGAAAGCGAAGGTAATGCTACGACAATAACGGGATATCCGGCGAAGGGATCACCCGCCGCGCGCGGGAAGGGGCGAGACATTAATCCTTTGTGCGCGGCGTATCGCGAACTTTGCGCAGGATAACAGGCGGAAATAAGCGATCACGAGGCGAAGAACAGAAGGAATACCTATAAGCCGATACCAAAAGAATTAGCCCCGGCTACGAGAACGTCATTTAAGCGAGTTGTTGCAAACTTTCGTGCTAACTAAGGACGCAACAGGGCTTATAAACTGTAATGCTTTGTGACTTTTGCCGACCCAAAGTCTTTGCAGCTCACCCGCCGAACAGAATATTGCTGTCACATTGCGCGCTGTAGATAACTGATAGTTCTGTTTCTGCACCTCGGTGCACTCATTTATTTTAAACACTCCGAAGAAGCACCGACTGCTCAATGTCCGATTGTGTTAAAGTTTCAAGTATGAATTTTTGAGCTGAAAGCCGGGATTTCTTGAAAGCACGGAATTTGCAATCGAGAGCTAAAAGTTATTAATAACTTTCCAATTCGCGTATTAAAGATTGTATATTAAGATTCTGAAAGGATCATATATCATGCTAAAAAGAAATTCCGTACAATTTCAATTCGTAATGCAGTACCTTTCAGAGTCCCTTTGAAATATGATACATCGACTTATATATAATGATACATCGACTTTAAACGATATTAAATCCTATGTTTGTTCACTTATTTTTGTTTATGAAGTTTAAATATTTTAATTGTTTTATCACAGAAGCATAACAAGTATACTGCAAAAATAATTTTTTAATAGCACAATTTAAATCCCGGACTTAAAAAGTTAATTCGCCTTTATCTCCTCGTCTCTTAAATTAACTAAATTGCGAACGCTATCTTCTTTCATCCTATCCAGGTCGAGCAAGCAAGTATCTAAAATTACATTAAGTTTGCATATTCCGTTTTAAAATAGGCTGCATCTTGCAAAAATATTTCGCGACACACGCGCAACGCTAGTAATCCTCAATAAAATACGAGTTGCACGTGAAAAATTTCGCGGCGCAACGAAGCTAATGCTTGTTTCGCCCACGATTTCTTACCGAGAGGATGAAGATCCAGATTTCTCGCGGTTTCCTCGTAATTTAGTCCCTAGCAGTTTCCGCCGGCTAGAAACAGCGGGAGAAAGGAACGTGATATCGAGGTCACGTGCACTTCAGCCGCCTCCAAGCCTGCTTGCCGATCTCGCGATCGCGCGAGAGGGCGAGAGGGCGAAGAAAGGAATGGAACCGTGCTGAACCGTGCGTGGGGGGGCGGGCACGCGAGAGGGAAGAGAAATGCAGTATTCAGCCGGAGAGAGGAGGTGGGATGTGGTGGTTAAAAGCCTTCGCGCGCAGTCTGCAAGTTTCTGACGATGGCGATACTTACGAGCGATTTGAGATTTAAGGCCAAGACTCGGCGCCATTCATCGCCTAAAAGCCTCGTATCTGCGCGACTGTCGGTTTTAATGATTAATACAGCTCGTCGCTGGCTGGATTAAGCCGTAGTAAATAGGCGACTCGGGTGACTTTACGCGCGCGGAGAGTCGCGCGCGTCCGCTGGATGAAAGGACCCACTGAATCGAGTTACATTTTTATGTCGACCTAAATCTCGTTTCCGAATCGCGGATTTCAAAAGCGTTCACGGGGTGCCTCGATGAGTGAAAAGTCGACGAGGAATGAAGAATTTATACATGGTATACGCTTGAAAACACACGCGCAAAGATGATTTGTACAGAATGAATTAAACGTGGACCTAATTGCACAGTTATTTCGCGATAAAAATTCAAGAGTTATCGCGGATTAAGAGTTCGAGCGTCGGCGAAGTCGGGAGAAGATGTGAAATCAAGAATTTGCGGAAGCTCAGGCGGGTGTAGCTCATGCATTCGCCATGCAATTTCCTTCTCCGCATTTAGCCTAATGAAGCAATTCCTTTTGCTATGTACAGTATCATGTTTGTTTTTCTTTTCTACCTTCTTACTTCAGAAGAATAATCTCTAAATTAATCAAGCTCTTTATAATATACAATCATCAAATCATAATATAAACAAATAAAAGTTACAAATATAGTGTAAAAACAATTTCAGTTTAAAAAATTAATTTTGCACCGTTAACCGCATTTGTGATTCATTTTCTTGTATTGTAATTTTAATGATTGTATCGGCAAATTAGATACGTAGCTATGAGAAAAAGTGAAAAGTGGAGAATTCCACGAGGCTACGCAGCCCCAACTCCGCGCATATTCTCCTTCATTACTTCTCAACCTCGTTTCTGCAGAACTGAACCCGCCGTTGCTCCCTCGTTGCTGCCGCCACCTGATAACAACGTGCTGGGCATCGGGTCGAAAATAAAAATACGAGACGTGGCTTTTGTTCGGTCGCGATGAGTCCGAACAATTCCCCGTCCGCCCGTTTAATCGCGACGTCCATTTATGCAACGAGCGGGGATGAGATGGGAAAAGCGGTGGGAGGAGAGACAAAAAATAATTGCGAACGAAGCGACGGGGATCACTGGCCGCCGTTCGGAAAAATCAAGCGATCTCGCTGCTTTGTCCGCGACGGGACGCTCCTTCCTTCGCCGCGGTATTGTTCATAATCCCTCGACTAGGAAGCGTCCGCCGAGTCTTTTTTACGACCGCCAATTGTCAGACTGCATTTCGCGCGTCGGCGGAAGGCGGCGCGATGCGCCGCCACGTCGAAGCGGATTAAATCGCCGCGCATAATCCAGCCGCCAGCCCCTGCCGATCCGTCCCGCATTTCGCTAATTAATCTCGCTAATTATTTGCTAGTTTAGCCCAGCAGCACGGACAGCCGCCGCCGCGCTTCCAAGCTGAACGCTTATGGTAATGACGCGACTGAAGGCACCGCGATCTCAACTAATTTCAAAATAATTAAAGACTAAGCGTGTTAACGCACTTCGACAAAGTATTTTCTCAGTGAGTTAACTTTTTTTTTGTTTCGGAAGACCCAAACTACCTACTCTCGCTGCCAGAAAGTCGATTAAAGCAATTAAATTATAATACTAGAGATATTTAATCAACATTACAGCGCAATACATATTTAACAAACATTATACAAACTCCTAATTAATAAATTAGTGCGCGGTTTTCCGTACAAATGCAAATAATTTCTTCGCGAGTTTCTTCTTCAACGAGACAAAAACTATTTCCACATTTGTAATGCAAATGCAGAGAGCACACCGGCGCTTATTTCTGTTCAACCGTTAATTGGCTTATGGCGCGACACTGTAAACTTATTTAACGGCGCAGGCTATGTAAACTATTAATTAATATTGCCGTTATTTCGCGTTTCACGCATCGGAACCGAGGAGACCGGAATCTCCTTTATTAATTCAATTTACGGACGGGTAATCTTCGCGAAGATCAACATTTATATCTTCTGATAAATAAATCCCGAAAGTGAGCGCCGAACGAGTTCGGGTTTGTTAATTAGATCACAATGATAAACTCTCGGCGCGGAGATAAACTCTTAATTAATTAATTAAAGGGGCTCTCCGCCGTGATGGGAGAGATGTTGCTCTCGGTTACCTTCTTTCAAAGTTTCCCCAGGACCGAAATCACTTGAGCGAAGATTATTTGCGCGTTCGTAGTTGATAAAGCGGCGTCGTTTCCCAGACATCCACGGGTAATCGATGTAATTGCATCGGGCATGAATCTATTTAATTGTGAGAAATTGCTAAACGTTAGAATAATTAAAGCGCACGCCATTCCGTTCAATGATTTTCACGTTTCCCGTAACTCCATACCCGTGTTAAAATCGCGCAACGATTATTAACAAGCGTTGCAAGCGGCAAATAAACTGGTGAAGTTGCACAAAGCGGCGCGCATCAAAGTTCCAACAAAATTATACAACAAAATTGCGTAACAAAGTTGAATGATAATTATAAATATAACAGTGGAGTTTTTTTTTTCGAGAAGTATAATTTGCGTAATAAATTAGTCAGTCTATACAGCGGACTTGCAATAAGTGTTAATTATTCAGCGCTCGCTGAGAGAAACCGAATGTTTATTTTATTAATTAATTATAATGAGAAACGAATTAGTCATTAATACAGCGCGACGCGTATCGGGAACGTCAAATCAACTTTCCCCGTTGT